CTCAGCAGCACTCTGGTGCAACTGTGCTCCAGCCAAGTTAGGCCGGTCTGCGGCAGATCATGATCACCGAGCTAAAACGAGCGAACAAGAAAAGACAAGCTGGCAGAGGATCATCTCGACCAACTCTGGTCTGGACTTCGGTCGATCAAGCTTCCTCTCGGCACGGCTTAGCCCAGCTCGGTCGAAATACGCTTGGACCACTTTCAGCCCGGCCAGAACCGCGACCCAAGCCGAGATTACAGAAATCTCCCTCTCATAGACGATTGCTTAGATGACCAGCTTCACCATTGTCTATCGCGCTCATCACTCTTGTCTTCTTTGCTCGTTATCGTATCATCCAAATGACCGATATGAACAAATTCAAACAATTCGGGCCACATCAAATTAGGCGGATGTAGCATTCCTTTTTCAAAAAATTTAAAACAAAAACAAAAACATGATAAAATCGGTGGAAGAAGAGCAGTCTCTAAGTACAAAAACAGTGTCACAGGCTGAAGCGATGGGATTTCACTTGCAATGCTGCTTGGGCTTGGGCGGGAAGACGACCATCCAAACCAATCCCTCTTCAATCCCCAACGAAAAAGGTAGTGGCATTGAAGAATTTTTTGCTTCTATTAGCATCCAACCAAGCAGAGTGTTTCTTCTTTGTTTGGTGTTTAACTTTGTTTTTGTTATTTTGGGTTCAGTTGTGAAACCTCAATGGAAAGCAGCCGTAGATTTCAAGTGGATTTGGGACAATAGAGCTGCTGTTGTGGTTAACATTAAGAAACGAAATTCCAATGGTAACTTGGAACTGGTTCTTCTATGTCTGCAATTGTTTTAAATATACCTTACTTGTTCAATTATTATTCTTAATAAATTGCTAATTGGGAATTTGGAATGGTTTGATTGGAATAACAGGAAAAGAAAATTGGAGAAGAAGCTACTACATGTGTCACGACCCGAACCCGCCCCTATGGGTTAAGGCCATAACCGGCCAGTAATCACGAGATTACCTATGGCCTCAAACCAAATAAACAAAACTCATTAGAGTAAAGGGGCCAAACGGAAGCAAATTTAAAACTTTGTCCATAGAGCTGTGCTTATATGCACACCATAACATTCCAAACATTCATATGTTAACAACTCACATCGAAATGTGCACTAACACAAAACACTGTACATACAGGATCATACAAGTTTAAGTTAGTCAAACCCAAGACTTATATACAAAAGTAGTCCATTGCTTTCGCCAACATAACAAAACGATGAACAAAGGACAAATGCGAAGACAGTCTCGTGTGTGAGAAGTTTGGGCCGACTCCTCAAAACTCTGACTGTTTCTCACAATTTCACCGAGACTGGTTCTGGACGTCCCTTGGCTCACCTACATATACATGAATGAGTGTGAGCGAAAGCCCAGTGAATAATATCAATAAGGAAGATACATAAGTAATCTTTGAAACAGTTACAACAGACAGCCTTTGGCCCAATCACTTGTATCAATTGGCCTTCGGCCCAATCATTTATTTCAATCGGCCTTCGGCCCAATCGTTTATATCAATCGGCCTTCGGCCCAATCCTTTATGTCAATCGGCCTTCGGCCCAATCATTTATGTCAATCGCGGCCTTCGGCTCAATCGTTTATGTCAATCAACCTTCGGCCCAATCGTTCATGTCACTCAGCCTTCGGCCCAATCATTCATGTCAATCGGCCTTTGGCCCAATCATTCATGTCAATCGGCCTTTGGCCCAATCATTTATGTCAATCGGCCTTTGGCCCAATCATTCATGTCAATTGGCCTTTAGCCCAATCATTTATGTCAATCGTTGTCCACCATTCAAATTAATGAACTTACAAAACTTACATAGAAGTAAACAATTGGACAATAACATATCTCAAATATCTTGTTAAGACATTACTCACAATGATCGACTTGTGGATTTGCCCTGGAGCTTGACCCTACACATCATATAGCACATATGAGTCACAAACGATTCAATCCATTCTTTAATTCACATATTCCTCTTTAGGCTTCATTCTTATATCTTTAACTCAATTACAATGCTCAATGTATGCCTAAGAGTACTTAGGAGTGAAAGAGAACAGAAAACGAAACACAGAACCCCTTTTCAAAATTTCAGAAAACAGGGTCCCCGCTCGAACGGACCCATAAGGTCTACAAAAGTACTAGTTACATCCATTTCACGCTCGAGCGCCAACCCGGCCGCTCGAGCTGAAGATCTATCTACATAGCTCCCCGCTCGAGCGTGAACTTCCCCGCTCGAGCGGACGCCATGTCTGCAAAATATGCTGGGAGCTCGTAATTCACGCTCGAGCGGCGGTTTCCCCGGTCAAGCGGACATCAAGAATTCTGGGTTTTCTAGAATTTGTTCTTGAGCTCAATTCGACCTCCAAAGGTTCCAAACTCATAATTTTGGCTCAAACTTCATATATATATGTACTAACATGGTACAAACACTAAATTACAACACAATGGAGCTCAATTTCACAAATTAATCACGTGCATGTCCCAATCTATACCAAATTTACTTTCAACATAACAATTTCATGCATTCAAGCTCATACCTCTTATGAATGGTACATGCATGTGAGATATAACTTCCATTTCAACTCAAATTGTACAAATGGTGGTCACAAGCATGAATTCTAGCCACAATTTTACATGCATCATATTTTTCATGCTCAATCACTACAATGAAAAACACATTTGGCGACCCAAAAATTGGTGGCCAAAAGTACAAATTTCGTCACCGAAAGAATCGGCGACAAGTATACAATTGGTCGCCAAAGGCCTGTCACTAAAAGTATTGGCGACGAAATCAGAAATTGTCACCGTATGTAGACAGTTAGCGACAAGCAAAATTGGTCACCAAAAATCATATATTTTGTTGCTATAAAATTACAGTTTGTCGCTAAAAGGTTAAAATTTGGATAGACTATGTAGTTTTAGCGACAAATAAATGTGTCGCCAAAAGTACTATTTAACGACAAAATTAATTTGGTCACTAAAAATCACGTTTTTAGCGATGAGTAAGTTTTGGTTGCTAAAAGTTCTTGGAATAACCACTAACTTTTAGTGACAAAAACAATATGTTATCGCCAAATATATTAACAGCGACCAAAATACCACCTATCACTGAAAATTCACTACACAAATTTTGATTTCAATAATTTTCATGTTCAAAATAATCCAAAATACCTGTTTTCCTGTGCACAATATATACATAAATGTAATATAAATAATAATACACCTGTTCAAGACATTCATAATAATTCAAAATTAATAGCTATAAAAAATCCCAATAAACATAATTACAATTCTCTGACAATCTAAAACATGCATACCAAAGTACTTACAAACTATTAACATCAAACCCATAAATACATTACCAAATCCTATGTCAAAATATTTTCAAAAACACAACCAAATGTTTTGATGCTAAACATCTAACCAACAAGTCATTTACTAAAATCTTATGTCAAAATATTTGCAAAAATACAACACCAAATATTTTGATGCTAAACGTTTAATCCATAAATCATTTACCAAAATCCTATGTCAAAATATTTTTAAAAACACAAAATCAAATCTTCTGATGTAGCCCAAACTATTTTCCACCATTGCCAATCTATCACATGAAAAAAGAAAAAATAATATTAGATTGACAAAAAAAAAAAAAAAAATCTCAATATGAACTTCACAATTTTGATTTTCATTTTTTAACAGGAAGTCCAATCGGATGCTGTTTGCTCATACAAGTCTATTTAGGCTTGAACAAGTTGCCCGTGCCAAGTTTCGGTGGTTTCAGTGGCTATTTTGCAATTTCGGCCCCCGAACGGGCCTTTTAAGTCTTGTGTTTTACATTTTTTCTTGTAATTTTCTAACCGGAAATCTAATCGAAGTCCCGTTTGTTCCTACAAGTCTATTTAGGTTTGAACAAGCTGTCCGTGCCAAGTTTTGGTGGTTTCGGTTGTCATTTCGCAATTTCGGCTCTTGAACGAGCTTTTTAAGTCTTGTGTATTATAATTTTCCTTCTAATTTTCTAACCGGAGATCCAATAGAGGTCTCGTTTGTTCTTACAAGTCTATTTAGGCTTGAAAAGGCTATCCGTGCCAAGTTTCGATGGTTTCGGTGGTCATTTTGAAATTTCAGCCCCCGAACGGGATTTTTAAGTCTTGTGTTTTATATTTTTCCTTCTAATTTTTTAACCAGTAATCCAATCGAGGTTCCGTTTGTTCCTACAAGTCTATTTAGGCTTGAACAAGCGATCCATGCCAAGTTTCGGTAGTTTCGGTGGTCATTTCGCAATTTCAGCCCCCGAACGAGCCTTTTAAGTCTTATGTTTTACAATTTTCCTTATAATTTTCTAACCAGAGATCCAATTGAGGTCCCGTTTGTTCCTATAAGTCTATTTAGGCTTGAACAAGCTGTCAGCGCCAAGTTTCGGTGGTCATTTCGAAATTTTGGCCCCCGAACGGGCCTTTTAAGTCTTATGTTTTACAATTTTCCTTCTAATTTTCTAACTGAAGATCCAATTGAGGTCTCGTTTGTTCCTACAAGTCTATTTAGGCTTGAACAAGTTGTCCGTGCCAAGTTTCGGTGGTCATTTCAAAATTTCGACCCCCAAACGGGCCATTTAAGTCTTGTGTTTTATATTTCTCCTTCTAATTTTTTAACCAGAAATCCAATCGAGGTCCCGTTTGTTCTTACAAGTCTATTTAGGCTTGAACAAGCTGTCCATGCCAAGTTTCGGTGGTTCCGGTGGTCATTTCGCAATTTCGGCCCCCGAACGGACCGAAATGCTTAGTAATGTGAAACACAAAGGGAGAAGTTAAAACAAATACCTATGGTATAGACACCATCAACATGCTCATGATTCCAGTCATAAAACATCTGCATGATTAAGCGTGTAAGTTTTTAAAGGGGGGAAAAATGTAATACGCAACGCAACCAGAGTTGGAGAATTGAAAATGATAATTAAAGGACCAGCAGACAAGTATATACGGGTATATCAGTAAAAAGAGCAACCAAAGCACTTGAAGTAAAACATAGAACAGACACAATTGCCAAGCCTGCAACCTGCACAGAAAACAATACTTCACTAAAGGTTAAGGATTCTGGAGTTTAGGGACTAAAAAAGAATCATTGAAAAATACTAATACAACAAAAGAAATATCCCCAAACCCAATATAAATCAAGACCCCACATATTTAGGAAACATAACACATAACCTGTTAATAATTAGTGTTTGTAATTCTATTATTTGCAAATTCTTTAACTAACCAACTTCGTTTGATAGTGGAACAACAAAAATTCCATTACTTGACAGACAAAAAAAATTGAGAGAAAAAAAATCCTTGAATGGTAGCAGTGGGAGATGAAATTTTAAGCACCAGACACGTATGTGCCGAGGACAAGCCCCACAAACTCTGAGGCTACTTGATGAGATTGCATGTGGTTGGCATTAACAGATATCTGACAGATGTGGCTTATAGTGAGTAAAGGTACTCATAATGGTTGTTGGAAGATCATGCCTACAGTTAGGGGATCACCCCCTAATAACTAAGAAAGTGGGCAGCTTACAGAAAGATGTTGGAAGTTGGAACATGAGTTGACTATGCTTTAGGAGTGGTGCCACCATGTTCTCTTGAGGTAGTTATAGAGCTTAAAGGATAAGTCACACAATGTATAAGTATTACCCGACTTTAACGGGGAGAGATATGAGAAATCTATTTGTAAGGCACTCTGAGCTCTCTACTGTGAATTCTTTCCCAAGAAATCTATCAGACCGACTGCTGCTGGCTATGCCACAACCGGCCCAAGGTGTTTTCCGCTTATTTGTTTTGCAGGATCACTGCTGCACAGAACCTCAAACATTCATCTTGTTCATATTCTTAGAATGGATTTTTGCCCTCTATAGTAGCAATTATAGCAATATATATCTATACATGTATATATGCATAATATATAAATTTTTTGTAAACATTAATGCATTAGTAACCAAGGAGCTTCAGTATAACTTAAATTTATATAATATATTTTTGAGGGATGACTGTAATAGACTACACAGCACAGTTACAAAAAGGTAAAATTATGTCATTAGTACAAACAACTACATAATTAAAAATCATTAGCAAAGAAAACTTATAGAAAAACAATAAACTCAATACCTTCCGCATTTCAGAAGAAGCTCTTTCAGATCTTACTTTCCTCATTTTCAAGAATAATACGAGTCCTGAATATAAAAATCATTGAATAAGAACTAATAGAAAACATGCAATTCAAAGAGATAAGGAGAACAGTAACTCAAGAAACCTTCATACATAGTATACAGGTTTTTTAACAATTGAAAGGGTACAAAATATGAGCAAAAGTTCTATTCCACAGCCCCACCATTTAAACCATGATTCACTGAATTTAGGGCTCTAACTTTAGCAGTAAAATGGGAGAAATCTTAGTCATCAGGTGAAGAATCTAAGTCCAGGATTAAAGAGGGGGAAGGTCTGTTCATTTTTCTCATGAGAAAAACAAATAGAGAGAATATAACTTTCATCTTCTGCTGAGTCAAGAGAATTTTAAGCCTCCATTACCAATTATCTCCATGCTACAAATGATGTATTTTTCAAGTTTAAAACTAGGAAAAAGATAGTTCTTCCACATCCTTCCCCAATTGAACTTTCAAAAATAGTTAAAGAGTTCGCAAGTCATCTTAAACAACATAGCTCCCCCGTGAGAATCTGATGTGGTCAAAGTGTAAAATTTTGTTGGGAGGTGACATTGTCAAGAATGATGGATATGATGTCGTCTAATCAAGGAAAACAATCTCTATGTGGCTTATTAAAAAGGAAAATGCTAGAAGGCCGCACTAGGAATCGATTGCAGGCATTGTCAAAGAGTATTGCACAAAGTAATATAGGGATTTAGCCCCTTGATTGTCCCAAAAGCCATACCCCATTGATTGTTTAGGACAACCAGCCTTCTTGAGTAAAAGCCTTTTCATCCTTGATGATTTCCTATCCCCGTAATCCACTATGAGACACCAGCTATAGATTAAACATAATTGACTATAGAATCAAATAAATGAATAGGAACATAATTAAAAAGAACTGAGTCGTTGCTCTTCATTTTCGAGAGTGGAATAATAAAGGTCGTAGAACTGCACAAAAGCAATAGCAATAACAAAGAAAATGTGGTTTTAGAATGCATAGAGAGCCTCACAGAGCCAGACCAGAGAGGGAGAGAGGGGATATTTGGAAGGCTGAAAAAGTACCTAGATAATGAACTAAAAACTTAATATAACAGGGGAAAAGGGACTTACGGATTGGTTTGAATTTACCCTTAAAACAATTTCTATAAGACTTGATCATCCAACGATGAAATTATTTTCATCACAGAAAAATAGGTATTGAGTCAATCTCAATGGGAGCACATCTAATCAAAAAGCAGGAAAACACCAAATATCAAAGAAAAAATTCCATTCAACCAACCATAGTACCTTAGAAAACAATCAATAATTAAACACAATTCTAGTTCATTGAAGCTCCTATCATGCTCTTTCTTTTATGTGAACAAGGTTCGTACTACTTTTGCATTAGATGATAAATGCAATAGACAAGACACCTAAAAATTATGATACAATAATAAATGCTCACCATAACATGCTAATGCTCCTCCTAATAAAAGGGTCACTTGTCACGACCCAAACCTGCCCCTATGGGTTTAGCACTGTAACCGGAGAGTAATCCGAGATTACCGAAGGTCTACTTAACAGTAATATAGTAATACAGAGTACAGGGGCTGGAGGAAGCCAAAACAGTAATTAAAAGATGTCCAATAAGCTGTGACAGTCTGTATGCAAAAAGACTTTTCATATGTATACATATTCAGAACAAAAGAGTACACACATACATCATATACAGATATTCAAGTTAGGGACCGGATCCCTACCATAACAGTACAGTACGGTATCATTCAGTCTATACAGTAAGTACAAAGCAGATACAAAAAAGGGAGAAACTAAAACACCCCAAAAACCCTAGCTTGAAGGACTTAGAACCTCGCAGTGAGGCACAGTGGTTGGCTTGACAAAACTGGAGTTTACCCTGACGCTTCTAGCAACGGTCCGGTGCCTGTACACCTACATATATATATGAGCAGTGAGCTAAAGCCCAGTGAATAACATAATGTATAAAGAGGTTAAGAATGAATGTCCTTACAGTAACGAAAACAGTTTATTGAATCAGTATATCAGTCATTCAGTCATAACAGTCATATGTGGTACATCCATTAGCAGAACAATACAGTAAACAGTAGGTCTTAAAAGACTGAAAAGTCAATGATGGCCATCGTAACAGTAAACAGAAGTTCCAAGATAGGAACTGACAGAGATCTCTGCAACAGTAACAGTAACAGTAACAGTAGTTGCTAAGGATGCCACAATACAATTCAAAATAGAAGACAAACATTCGTTCAGTTAACAGTAAACAGTTCAGAAAACAGTTCAGTTGATCATTCAGAAAATATTCATTTTCGAACATATCTTTACAACATTGTTACTCACAGAGTTCTGGGCTACAGATAAGCTAGTACGCGTCCTCGGATGCCAACCCTACATAGTTACAGAGTGAACACACACTAAACTACACAGTTGGGAAAATAATAACTTAATCCCTATCTTGACTCGGTGTGGTTCTACATCAATATCCTCATTAAGATGCCTTAAACTAGGCCTAGGAATGCCTAGGATGGAATGAGGATGCAAAGATGCACTTTAAAAACATTTTCAGAATTTTCAGAAAAATAGAGGTCCCGCTCGAGCGTGGGTTTACCCGCTCGAGCGTAAAGGCAAACAAAATACTCCGCTCGAGCGCGAGTTACACCGCTCGAGCGGACTGTAAAACATGCCAAAAGTACTGGATGTGTGAAAATCACGCTCGATTAGGCGCTCGATACCCGCTCGAGCATGTGACACAAGTCCTCGCTCGAGTGTCCAATACCCCACTCGAGCGGGCTGTAAAACATCGTAAAGTGCTGGATTTACAAATTTCATGCTCGAGTGCCAGTCACTCCGCTCGAGCGTGAGTCCAAAATCTGGAATTTCCAGATTTGAACTTCAAGCTCAAAAACAAGTTTCAATATACCAAATTCGATCCTTTTGGGCTAATTTTCTGAAAAATACTTCAAAACTCATAATATAACATGTTTCAAAGATCAATTTGAGAAATCAAAGTCCAAAGGTAGTTCAATTAAACTCAGTTTCAAACCAATTTTCAAGAACATAACTCAAACATGACATGCATGAGTTTAAACCAATTCAAAGCTTCAATTACATGCTCTAATGAGCTAATTCTTCCAAAAACATGGTAAAACCATGAACTATACTCAAAATATGAACATGCTTGTGGCAAATTTGTGAAGAACAACTTCAAAATGCAAGAATATACCCATGCATGCAAAGATTAAGCTTTGATTCAACAAATTAAGCTAATTCATGACCTTAATCTCTAGACTTCCATAAACCATGCAACATATAACTTGAATACATGAACAAGAAGGTATAATCTCTACCTTAAGTCTCCAATTCTAGGTGTAGGAGTCCAAACATGCAATCAACCCTCAATTTCCTCAAATCACCAAGCTAGAATTGTTGAACTCAAGTTTCCTCACTCTCTCTATCTCTAGTCGGCTAAAGACTCAAGGAATGGCTGAGAAAATGATGCTAAACAATGTATAATTCAAGTCTCAACATATGGCATGAAGTGGGCCACTAAGTGGCAAAGTTGTAAATAATGCAACTTGTGTAATTTAACTTATTTTAATCTATTTAATCATACCAAATTACATTTCAAATAAATATGCCATAAAATCACATAAATTATGATTAACACATATCACTAATCAATTTCAGATTCGGCTGCCGATAAGGCCTTCAATTTGCAGTTTAAAACATAAAACATGAACAAATAGTTTAATAGTCGAACAGATGGAGATGCACTTAAACAGATACAGACAATCAATCAGTTCCAGATTTCAGTCAGTCAATCAATTAACACATAATAGAGAGTGAGCCGGGCTCAATGAGTAGTAATACATAATGAATGACGTCTATCTTGAAATTTAAATACATCAATACATAAAAAGATGCAGAATGCACTTGGTTTATCTGATTCTGCGTTTAGTTCATACTGGCTCTAGGCCTAATCCTGTGACATGAGCATGTGGCTATAAGCCCTTGAAACATGATGGCACGAAGCCCTTGAACATATGGCACGAGGCCCTTGAACATATGGCACGAGGCCCTTGAACATATGGCACGAGGCCCTTGAACATATGGCACGAGGCCCTTGAACATATGGCACGAGGCCCTTGAACATATGGCACGAGGCCCTTGAACATATGGCACGAGGCCCTTGAACATATGGCACGAGGCCCTTGAACATATGGCACGAGGCCCTTGAACATATGGCACGAGGCCCTTGAACATATGGCACGAGGCCCTTGAACATATGGCACGAGGCCCTTGAACATATGGCACGAGGCCCTTGAACATATGGCACGAGGCCCTTGAACATATGGCACGAGGCCCTTGAACATATGGCACGAGGCCCTTGAACATATGGCACGAGGCCCTTGAACATATGGCACGAGGCCCTTGAACATATGGCACGAGGCCCTTGAACATATGGCACGAGGCCCTTGAACATATGGCACGAGGCCC